TGTAACGTCTTTTCTTTAAATAATTGTCTTTTGGCAATTATTAAAAGTGACGCCTACCCAGTTACTGTTATTTGATAACGGATCCGACTAAAATTTTTACCACCGACGGTTCTTTTCATTTTCTCTCTACAATGTTTCTTTGATGAATGGAATTGGAAAATATTTAAAAGAAAGTTAAACAAAAACTTTTTTTTTCACTTTCATACGTTAATAAAACGTTGTTGAAAGAAAATGAAGAAACACGACCGGAGGATAATTATGTCTGATATAATGTGGTAAAAGTTTCACACCGATTCGTCATAAAGTAAGGATAACTGTTCTAACGGATGATTTTTGACTATGTTTTTTATCATGATAAGCGGATGGAGGAGGAGCTTGAAATATTGTTAAGCGGTTTTGTTTCTGTCAATATATCATAATAAATTTAATATTATATTCTTTTTAGAATTATCGTCACTTAAATATTGATTTTATGTCGTCTATAGCTAAACTTCCTCAATTATTAATAACAATTCAATTGCCTAATGAATATATTGATATGTTATCAAACAAATTTAATATTGTATATCATCATAATAAATCAGAATTAATTGAACGTAAATTATTATTGAAATTAATTGATGAAAATTATGTAAATGCTATTTTATTTACAAGTGGTGTTCAAATAGATAAAGAATTATTAGAACATTGTGGTAATCATTTAAAAGTTTTATCAACTTTATCTGTAGGATATGATCATATTGATGTTAATGAATGTCAAAAACGTCATATACCTATAGGATACACACCAAATGTACAAACAAACTCAATGGGTAAGAAAACAAAATTTAAGAATAGATTAGTTTGTCTAATAAAAGATAAATCAAATTAATTTATTTTATAATTAAATAGCTGATTTAACTGTAGCATTATTATTAGCCACATCAAGACGACTTATTGAAGGTATAGATATAGTTAAACAAGAAAATTGGAATTGGAATATAACATTTTTATGCGGAAAATCATTAGAGAATTCAACTATTGGAATTGTTGGATTAGGAAAAATAGGTAGGTAGATTTAAAACTTCACATAAATATAAGAAAAATTCAAAATAAACAAGTTTTGAATTGACTTTCATTTTAGTACAATCGTCAAAAGTGTAGTTTTTTTATTTTCCAGCAAAAATAGACTTTTCCAAACGTCAAAAAAAAAGGTCTAGTATCGCCCAATTCGAATCCATGAATGTTGCTCCCCGGACACTTGCTCCCCAAAGGCATTTGTTCCCCAATGACACTTGCTTCCCGAACAGTTGCTCTCCAATTTCACCTGGCCTTGAGCTATGCCTTTTTTGTTGACAAATTCAAAATAACTTTTAAAGATTTAGAAATCGGTAAAATTATGAACAGACTGAGATAATTAGAAATTCGTGCAGGATTTAAAACCACTGGGTAATTCTCGAATTAGTTGTAAATTTATAGCTAATTTTACTCCATTTCACCAGAGTTTCAAAACGCGGTGGTAGAGATGTAGTGATCCATAAAGGATGCAGAACAAAAAGTACGAAAATGCTAAAAATAAAATATAATAAAGTGACAGTGTTCTTTTCTGTTTCATACTCTCTTTTAATTATTTGTCTGATCTTATATTATTACACTGCAACTAATTAATTAAATGCCAAAAAAAGATAATCCAATAAAATACGTTTAATATGTTGACAAGCTTAAACTTCTAATTAATTAATCTTTTCAACCAGTCTGATCTAAAAGGTGTCCTCTCGATTTCTCAATTCGTTCCTCGTAAATTTTTATTCTTAATTCGTCGCTTAAAATTTTTTTCTTGATTCATCCCTCAAATGCACGCATAGGCTAAATTATTCGGCTTTTAAATTTATTTAATAAACTTTGTAAAAAGACCAACACTAATAATTAACAATATATAAACAGCTACAATACCATTATGCCCAAAAGACAAACCAATTATTCGTGAAGATATCATGTTTTAATTAGGGTTGTTTTAACAGCTCTACCACATTTAAAAGCCAGTTCAGCATTTCTTATTGTTCCTTTTATGTGTTCTTCATGTAATTCTTTTAACTTACTATCAATATTATTGTATAATTTTTTTCGTTTCCTTATTTGCATATCTGATTCTTCATCTCTATGATGTTGATATAAATATTCATTACGTAACAAATCAATAAAATGATGAATGTGTGGGTGTTTTGGAAAATTACTTTCCAAACGACTATTGTATCCCTCAACATGATTGTTTGTCCTTGGTAAATCATTAATTATTGCATCATGCACATTTCATATATTAATCCCATATAAACTAATATCTACATAGATTTGACTAAATAATCATTGAATACAGTAGCATTAACATCATCTGGGGTGTATAAATCCATAATATTCGTCCAAGTACTTTCAACAATGTCGGCTGGTATTAATGCTAAACCAATGGCACCAAGAAACCAATGATCTGCCTTTTTATGTTTCGGAGAATTTTTGTGTACTCCTCTACTAAATAGCAAATGTTGTTGGGGAGCGAATGTCTTTGGGGAGCAAATGTCGCGGGAGCAACTGTCTGGGGAACAACATTCGGGTTACCGCCCAATTCATCTAGATGAGAGAAAATGAAAAGAACCGTCGGTGGTAAAAATTTTAGTCGGATCCGTTATCAAATAACAGTAACTGGGTAGGCGTCACTTTTAATAATTGCCAAAAGACAATTATTTAAAGAAAAGACGTTACA